CCGGACGGAGGGAAGTGGCCACAGCACTCCAGGCTGTGGGGGACGAGCACTGGCAGCTGGGGGAGGGAGTGAGCCCTCCCCTCCATGCAGCACTGGGAGGTCGTGGATGCAGAACCCTGGCCAAGTCAGGGCTCCCCTGTGCGAGGAGGATGCGACCTCTGGAGTCCAGGGAAGGGCCACAGCAATGCTGAAGGGACTGGAGCATCTGCTGCATGAGACGCTGGGACTGCTCCGCCTGGAGCAGAGAAGGCTCAGGGGCATTGAATCCATGTGTGTACATGCCTGATGGGAGGGAAGGAACATGGAGCCAGGCTCTTCCCAGTGCTGCCCAGTGACAGGACCAGAGGCAATGAGCACAAATGACCACAGGAGATTCCACTGAAACTTTTTTTCCAAAGTTGGTTTGGTTGTTGGTTTTTTTTTTTTTCCCCCTCAACCCCCTCCCAACCCTAAACCCCCCCCCCATTTTTTTATGGTGAGGCTGATCAAACAGGTTGCCTGGAAGAGATTGCCCAGAGAGGTTGTGGCCCCTCCAGCTGTGAAGCTACCCACGGACTCACTGAGTATTGAAATGCCTCTGGAGTTCCCCTAATCCCAGCCCCTGCTCAGGCAGGGTCAGCTGGAGCAGGTTGTCCAAGTCCATGTCCAGCTCAGTTTTGAATATCTTCAGAGAGGGAGATGCTCTGGGGAACCTGTTCCAGTATGGTCTTTCTTGCCAGTACAGTCTTCCAGTTCCAGGTTTCTCCATGTCCAGATGGAATTTCCTCTTTCAAAGCCCAGATGGACGCAGCCTTGAGCAACCAGCTCCGTCTGCTGCTGCCCTGAACAGGGGGTTGGAGTGGGAGATCTCCTGAGGCCCCTTCCACCCTCAGCCATCCTGGCATCCTGGGACTACTCTTGAGCCTGTCCTCAAAGGCCTCCCAGTTTCCCTCAGCTCCTTCGTCCTTCGGAGCCGCCTCCTGCCAGACCTCACCTACCAGGTCACTGAAATTGGCTCACTTGAAGTCCAGGGGCTGCACCTGGCTGCCTGCGTTCCTGCCTGCCTCCTGGGTGCTGACCTCCACTGCCTCACAGCTGCCGCCATCACATCCCCAAGCACCTTTCAGAAACCTCCTTCACTGCTCCACTCTGCTGTGCTGCCCTTCTAGCAGGTATCAGGGAGGTTATCATAGAATCATTGAACCATAGAATGGTTTGGTTTGGAAGGGGACCTTTAAAGGTCATCTAGTCCAACTCCCCTGCAATGAGCAGGGACATCTTCAACTAGATCAGGTTGAAGGCCCCTGTGAGGACTAGGGCCACCCATGAGGAGCCTGAACCTCCCCCAGCTGTCTCAGGAAAGCTTCATCCATGTCATCCTTTTGATCGGCAGGGGGTGTGTGTGTGTGTGTGTGTGTGTGTGTGTGAAACATGTCCCTCCACAGTGTCCCCTGCCCTACCCTCTGCTCTAGTCCTGACCCACCAGTGCTCAGCAGCACCGAGTGTCCCACAGAAGAGCCCCCACATCACAGTGCTCCGGCACGGGGTGGCCATGCCCCTCCTGAAGGGTCTGTGTCTGTCCCCCACAGTCCCCAGCCCCACGAGCTGCCCCATCCTGATGCAGTGTCCTGACAGCAGCTCGGGGGGGGGGGGGTTGCCACATGCAGAACTCTGGTCCCTTCCCCTCATGTCCCCCACTGCCCACATGTGCGTGCAGCACCTCTT